CCACCGTGCCCGGCTAATTTTTTTATTTATTGTAGAGACAAGGTCTCGCCAAGTTGCCTAGACTGGTCTTGAACCCGTGGGCTCAGGCAATCCTCTCTCCTCGGCTCCCCAAAGTGCTGAGATTACAGGCTTGAGCCACTGCGTGTGCCCTCCTTATTTTTAACATACAGGGATTTAATGAGATCACATTGTAAATGTTTATAAGGTGTTTTAGAAAATATTTGAATCTTGTCCTTCAGTTATTGCACCTCTCACTATTCTGAGCACATAGTAGGTGCTTAGCAATGTTTCTTAGATTAAGCATCTGCGTATTCATCTGCTTCCGCTTATACCTTTCTCACATTGTTGTCTATCACTGCCTTTTTATATTTTGAATTTCCAACTAAACTGTAATCTCCAGAGTGTGCAATTATGTCTTCTATTTGTGTGTATGTATCCTTAGAACATCTTCCCTGCAATATAGCCTCAATAAATCTTTGCTGATTGCTTTTAAACGGCCAGCATGTGGGAGCATACCAGCTAATAAGGCATGGCACAGGCTACACCGTCCAGTATGAATAGCTTTATTTAGAATACATGTTCTGGATATATATTTTAAATAGATGTACACATCCTAAAAACACATATTTTTTTTATTTTTATTTTTTGAGTCAGAGTCTCACTCTGACGCCCAGGCTGGGCTCAGGAGATCCTTCCACCTCAGCCTTCCAAGTAGCTGGAGCCACAGGTGTGCTCCACCATGCCTGGCTAGCTTTTTGATTTATCATTGAGATGAGGTCTTGCCAAGTTGCCCCAAGCTGGTCTTGAACCCCTGGGCTCAGGCAGTCTTCGCCTCGGCCTCCCAAAGTGCTGGGATTACAGGCATGAGCCTCTGTGCCCAGTGAAACACATATTTTAAACAAAGATCACGGAGGTAGGAGGGAACACCCAGGTCCACATGAAGGGGACAAGAACAGTGCAGAGGTAGAGAGGCTCATGGCCCTGCTGGCTGGGAAGGGGATTCCAGCCGGTGGCCACTAGCTGTGCTTCTCTGTTGCATCAGATGAACTTTTGTTTTCTCTAAGAGTTCATTTCTTCACTCTCTTGTCTGCAGATTCTTGACAGGTGACAAGTGAGTGATATTTTTAAGGGTTAAGGATGTCATCCTGGATGGAGGACTCATCAACAGGGGAGAGCCTAATCACTGGGTTACCAGAACACATTTTTAAAAAAATGAACCTCTCTGGTGCTTAGCCAGTTAGAAAGAAGTTAGCGTTTACTAAACCAGTCCAAGAATCCTATTGACTGAACTCACCATGTCTTTCATGGTTTTCATGTCAAACGGTTGCCTTTAATATGCTTTTCTCTCCTCCCGAGAATGTTCCAGTTACCACGCTGAAATGTTTAAATACCTGCATTTTTTATTAGAACAAAAAATATAATTGGTTTGTTAATTGGGAGCACACTGGAGAGTTGGCTGTGAGGGCTTCTGACTTTGATAAGTGATCTTGTAAAAGAAAGGACAGTTGTTCCACATTCAACTTTCTTTGTGTTGTCAGATTGAAAATATATGGCTCGAGATGAAAGATTCTGCGTGCCTTCGCTTATTTATTTCCAGACCCAACATTTCATTTTAAATCCACTCAAGATGCGTGCTGTGGGTCTGAGCCATTTTACATGATGCAGGGTACGGTATGCGCAGGGGAGAATTTATTTTTTCACTGTGCTATTATTAGGCTTATAATTACTCAGGCTGGATGGAAGCAGAAAGGTCTCAATTCTTATAATAATGTGCCAATTACTTAGCCAGACGTGACAGGCAGAAGGAGTTCATTTAGACAGTTTAGACTTAAGAAGTAACATTTCTTTACAAGGAGTTCTAAACATGCTTGCTTTTGTCTAATTTTTTTTATAACCCCAGTACTTCCCATTTTAATTATTCGAACAAAATCCGCAGTTTAACAGATATCTAGAAATGACTGGGGTCTAATTATCTTCCTTGGTGCCCACATGTCTCTCAAGAGGAAAGTCAGAACTCACTGTGGCTATAAAAGACATCCGTACAACAGATTTATGTTCTGTAGAATATTTGGACTAATATTATTAAGCATTTCTAAAGAATACAGCTTTCAGTTACTTTTTATTTCTTGTCTTCTTCCCCAAGAGAAAGAGTGCACGATTCTATTTCCCTGAGGAGGTAAACTTGCTTGAAAAGTAAAATTTTCATTAGTATACCAAATTTGACTTTCTTTGAAAAAGATAAGTCTTTCTTTGTTACATTTAAATAGTCTTAAGGCTGAGTGACTAATTAGGACAGTAGTAAGATATCATTCTCTTTTATTAATCTAAAGATTACACTGTCTCAAGAGACCTCAGTTTTATTTGTGTGCTTTGATGCCAGTGTAGACAATTCGTTTTGTTTTTTTTTTTTGAGTCTGAGTCTCACTTTGTCACCCAGGCTGGAGTGCAGTGACACGCTCATGGCCACCGCAGCCTTGACCTGCTGGGCTCAGGCGGTCCTTCCGCCTCAGCCTTCCAAGTAGCCGCAACTACAGGAGTGCTCCGCCACGCCTGGCTTATTTTTCTTGATTTATTATAGAGACGAGGTCTCACCAAGTTGCCCAGGCTGGTCTCGAACCCCTGGGCTCAGGCAGTCCTCTCTCTTTGGCCTCCCAAAGTGCTGGGATTATAGACTTGAGCCACCACTCCTGGCCTTTATTTCTTACTAAAGGAGTTTCTTCCCTGTACTTGGAGGGAGATGTGAAGCCAGGATAGTGTGGGACTCGATGGATTTGTAGAGGAATAGGAGAGTCAGTTTCCTGTGAGATAAAGAATAGATTTGAGAGTTCTTTCCGTGCTGGGTCCTATGCTGAGTGCTTTCATTGCATTGTTTCATTTATTCCTCATAATCCTATGGGATAGTATCCCCAGCTCTCTTTCTGTGAAAATTGGAAATCTAAATTTGGATGAGGAGTGACTTTTAATGAGAACACCCCATTCCCGGGCCATGCCAACCACAGGTTTGTTCAGAAGCATAAAGTTACTCAGTAGAATGTCTCCTCTCTCTCTCTCCTCTCTTATGAACTGTTTAATGCACCCAATCATACCATTTGGCACAGATTTTTAATAGTGTGTTATATTTGTTACAGCAGTCTTATACTGCTGGGGTGTAACGTGTTTCACACCCACCCCACTTGATTTCTTCTTTAATCGTTTCTTAACACCAGAGCACTGCTTTAGTCAAAACCATTTAAGGGCCTCCACTTTTAAAAATTAAAAGTGTGGAAGGTCGGGGATGGCGTTTCCCCTCTTGTCCTGTGATAGTCAACTCCTGAGAAAACTTTTAATGCCTACAGCTGCAACCGATGGGTGTGCCCTTCCAAAGTGTCACAGGAAAACCGAAGCATTAAAGTGCTGAAATCAAGAGGTTGAGACATTCATATGCTTGAGTTGAAAGTTAAATTAAGACAAATGTCAGATAATGACACGAAAGGAGAGTGGTTCTATGAGGGAAATGCTCAGCTGCAACTGCAAGTGGGAGATGTTTTTAACGTTCCCTGAGTTCCACATTTGTGTCGTTGTAGTAGTGAAACGAGTCATTTAGGAGGGAGGTGGCCTGGGCTAAAAATAAAGTTTCCTTGAAACCAGATGAGAGATGAGCCATGCCAAAAATGGAATCTGGACTCTGTTCACTCTCTCAAATGTAAATAAGCAGAATTTTGTGTCACATAAAATCAGTTATGCAAAACAGGACGTTCACTGTCTTTTGTGAAAGAGAGTGACTAAAACAACCATCAGGGTCTAGCTGTGCTGTGAAATAGGAAGCAGCAGTTTACAACAACATGGTAATCTAATGTATTCTGATTTGGAAAGATCTCCAAGGAAATCCCAGACAACAGGTATTGCAGGATTTCATTTATGTACAGATGTATGAACATGTACAATTACAGGTATATATGTGCATAGTAAAAACTGGAAGGATACACATGGAAATATTTGGGAAAGGGAATGCAAGTTGGGAGTAAAGGGGGAATTTTTGTCAATCCACTCTACATGTTACATGTCACGTTTTCACACACACACAATTAAGAAAATTACATAAATAGGGAAAGCAAAGCTTGATGGTCTCAGTGAAGCAAAATAATGGTTAAAAGTGTAGGTTTTCGAATAAAAACTGCCAGGGTTTGAATCCCAGCTCCTTCACTTACTGGCTGTACAACCTGACATAAATTACTGACCTTCCATGCCTCTGTTTACTCAAAGGGTAATTATGTCACATTGTTGTTACAAGGATTAAATAAGTAATCCATGAGAAAGCACATAGACTAGTGCCTGACACATAGTAAACATTCAGAATGTATTTAGTTATAAGCTACAATACTTAGACCACTTCTAAGGTATACTCAACTCTGTGCAAACTTTTCAGTAAAAATGTTTTGAGTGGACTGGGCGCGGTGACTCAGCCTGTAATCCCAGCACTTTGGGATGCCAAGGCCAGAGGATTGCCTGAGCCTGGGGGTTTGAGACCAGCGTGGGCAACTTGATGAGACCTCGTCTCTATCATAAATCACAAAAACTAGCCAGGCGTGGAGGCGTGCATCTGTGGTTCCAGCTACTTGGAAGCCTGAGGCAGAAGGACCGCCTAAGCCCAGCAGGTTGAGGCTGTGGTGACCATGAGCATCCCGCTGCACTCCAGCCTGGGCGACAGAGTGAGATTCGGACTCAAAAAAAAAAAAAAAAAATTTTGAGTGACAGCATTAGTCATCACAATGTATTTTCTCAAAGTTTTCATTGTAGTTGTTGATGATATTGTCATATTCTTTACCCCATGGATGTTCAGACCTTTAAAAGAAGAATACAAAACCAAATGGAATTGTCTTGTTTTATGTAGCTTGCTGTCCATTCCAGGGGTGGAGTGTTCCTGAATTTGCGTCTTTGACCATGTAATCTAATGTACATATCGTAGTAAACTCCAGAAATGGCCACGCAAATACATAATGAGGTTTTTCTTTGTTCCTTAGGAAGACTATGACCGTCTGAGGCCTTTATCTTACCCAATGACCGATGTCTTCCTTATATGCTTCTCGGTGGTAAATCCAGCCTCGTTTCAAAATGTGAAAGAGGAGTGGGTACCAGAACTTAAGGAATACGCACCAAATGTTCCCTTTTTGTTAATAGGAACTCAGGTATGTTTGATTTGATTTTCCTCATTTAAAAATAAGCTCTTCGGCCCATTGAGGGGCTGCTCTCAGACAAACGGTCCCAAGGTTAACAGATGATATGTGTAAGTTGTTAAGTTCTCTTGAATTTTTGTAAACTATGGTACCAAAAGAAAGCAATTCTATTACTAGCTTTTAAAAACTAAGTTCTTTTGTTTGATCATTTTGGGGGATGTGGGGATTAAATGGGACTGCATGCTTTGATTTATCTTTTAAGACTTGTAACGTTATGGGACATTATTGACCTCTTTTAATTAGATTGATCTCCGAGATGACCCCAAAACTTTAGCAAGACTGAACGATATGAAAGAAAAACCTATATGTGTGGAGCAAGGACAGAAACTAGCGAAAGAGGTAATGGAACGTTCACAGAATCTAAAAATAAATGTAGAAGAAGCTAAGGTAATGACAGAAGCTAGTGTTTATTGTGCACTTATTATATGCCAGGCACATAATAATGCTGAGTGCCTTACATGCATTATTTAATCCTTGCACCAACTTGGTGGGGTGGGTCTGTTTCCCCTGCTTTACAGAAAGGACAGTAGGGGCTTGGAGATATCACGTAATTTGCCCAAGGTCCTGCGGGTTATAAGTGGCAGAGCTAGGTTTCAGTCCAAAGCCTGATTCCAGGGCCCAGGCTCTTACACCTGCACTACACAGCCAACAACACTTTCCTAAAAAGTTGCAAATAGCAAGAGGAATCCAAAACAGGTGCCGATGGTTTCAGCCCTTCTTTTTTTTTTTGAGTTGGAGTCTCACTCTGTCGCCCAGACTGGAGTGCAGTGGCCACTTCTGGCCACCGCGGCCTCGACCTGCTGGGCTCCGGTGATCCTTCCGCCTCAGCCTTCCAAGTAGCCGGAATTACAGGCATGCGCTACCATGCCCGGCTGATGTTTTGATTTATTGTAGAGATGAGGTCTCGCTGCCCAGGCGGGTCTCGAACCTGCGGGCTCAGGCAATCCACTCACCTCAGCCTCCCAAAGGCGCGGGATTACAGGCTGAGCCACCGAGCCTGGCAGTTTCAGCCCTTCTTAATCACTTAAACATTGTGCCAAGTCAGCTCTGTCTACACTGAAGACTCCTTGAGGTAGGTAGTGGAGCAGCACAGGATGACAGCCGAAACTTGTGGTTAAAAACAGAAAACCATGGCTAGGCTTGAAAAGAAACGTGTTGACACTTCCTCCAATCATTGTTATGAAAAGAGGGTAGAAAATATTAGAATTCTACAAAGATATGTTAACGGTCATGCACATAATACGTTTAACTTATGTTCTTCCTCACCCCAAAGTTAGGCTTACTTTTTTTATTTTTTTTTTTTGAGTTGGAGTCTCACTCTGTTACCCAGGCTGGAGTGCAGCCGCCTGCTAGACTCTGGTGATCCTTCGGCCTTAGCCTTCCAAGTAGCTAGAACTGCAGGCATATGCTACCACGCCCAGCTTATTTTTTAATTTATTGTAGAGACAAGGTCTCACCAAGTTGCCCAGGCTGGTCTCTAACCCTTGGGCTCATGCAATCCTCTCGCCTCGGCCTCCCAAAGTACTGGTATTACAGGCTTGAGCCACCGTGCCTGGCATTTTTTTTTTTTTTTTTTAGCTCTAACATGATTGGATTCTATCTTTTTTTTAAGTGTTGCAACTTAAATAGGACTTTTATGGAAATAGAATCTAATAAGGTCTTTTTAAATGCACTATCAGGAGGCAAAAGAAAGCAAGAGAACTTTCTGAGAACAGTTACTCCTAAAGCAAAAGATAAATGACTTCACTAATGAATCACTTTAGAAATTTCATGTATTCAATTTTGTCATCCTGGGGAGAGAGGGAATTCCTAAATGTCAGAAAGGTAAAAATTATAAATGAAAATATTAATGATTCAACTACATAAAAACTTAATGCTGCATTAAATGCCAGAAATGAAATGAAGAGTCATATAACTAACTTGACATGTATGGCAGAAAAATGGGTTCACATTCTTAGTATGTAGGAATCTTTGGCATAAAATTAATCAAAAAAAGAAATTGATCTTATAGAAAAACAGGCTAACCATGAAAAATTATTACATTTTTAAATGCAGATTGCTATCGAAGGTAAGAAATAGGTTCGAACTTATTTGTAGTCAAATGTAAGTTCAGTTTTCACCTAGAAAATTGTAAAAAATGAGAAATTAATCCTAATACTCACTGTTCCAAGGGTGCAGGGAAATGGACACTCTCTTGTACTATTGGTTGTTGAATCAAAGCACTCTTGACAATATACGAAAGCCTTAAAATCATGGACACTTTCGATCAAGCAATTCTATATGTAGGAATTTAACCTAAGCAAATTATTAGGATGTTCATTAATGGGTACAAAGTTCCAGTTAGGAAGAATAAGTTTCTGAGATGTATTACATAGCATGGTGACTATAGTCAATAATAGTGAATTGCATATTTTAAAACTGCTGAGAGTAAATTTCAAATATTCTCCCCACAAAAAAAGAGAAGTATTTGAAATGATAGATATGTTAATTAGCTTGATTCAGTCATTCCACATTTTGTTTGTATATCCATATCATAACTTTTGCACCCCCATATATACAATTATAATTTGTCAAAATAATAAAAAAAATTAAGGATGCATTTAAAGAGATAGCTACAAAGATGCCGCATTGTTTATAATGGCAAAAAACCCTCCTGCATTTATTAAAAATTCATACTTAAATATCAATTGAGATGCTCATAGTTATTATGTAATTTAAGAAAAAAAAAGTAGTAGTCAGGTTCGGAGTCTTATGCTTGTAATCTCAGCACTTTGGGAGGCTGAGGCAGGAGGATTGATTGAGGTCAGGAGTTTGAGACCAGCCTGGACAACACAGCAAGACCTCATCTCCACAAAAAGTAAAAAAAAATTAGCTGGGCATGGTGGTGTGTGCCTGTGATCCCAGCTACTCAGGTGGTTGAGCAGAAGGATCGCCTGAGCCCAGGAGGTTGAAGCTGCTATGAGCCATGATTGTGCCACTACACTCCAGCTTGGGTGACAGAGGGAGACCCTAAAAAAAAAAAGAAAGAAAGAGAGGGAGGGAGAGAGAGAGAGAGATTGAGAGAGAGTGAGAGAGAGAGAGAGAGAGAGAGAGAAGGGAGGGAGGGAGGGAGAAAGAGTTGCAAAACAGTGTGATTCCATCTCTAGACCTGTCGGCAGCATTGGCACCATCGGGTCCTTGAAACACCTCCTTCCCTTGTCTTCTCTTGGTTTTTCTCCCTCTCACTGGCCTCTCCCCCATCTCTTCATCTCTCCGGTTTCTGAGTGTCAGAGGGCTGCAGGGATCAGCACCAGCTTTGTGGATGTCTTTTCTTCTAGACCTCCATCACTCTCCAGGGCTAGCTGAGCTTCTGTCAATCTTGGGCTTGAACAGTCTACCACCAATGATTCCCAGCTTTCTATCTCCAGCCAGGACCTCTTCCCTAAATTCTAGACTTGTTTATCCAACTGTTGCTCAACAAGTCCATCTGGGTGGCCCACATCTCAAAATTAACATGTCCAAAATAGGATTCCTCATTTTCCCCTCTCAGTTACTCGGGTCAAAAACCCTGGCGTCATACTTGACCTTGCTCTTACTTTCATGCCACATCCAGCGCTCTGGCAAAATGTATTGCCATACCTTCAGAAAATGTCCACTTCTTTCTCGCCATCCCTTCTTCTGTCGCCTGGTCCAGGCCTCTATCTCTGGCCTGGGTTGCTGGGACAGCTTCCAACCCCCCTTTTGGCTCCTGTGCCCTCATGATAGTCTGTTCTCAACACAGCAGCCAGAAACCTTACCACGTAAGCCCTATCAGGTCATGTGCTGCTCAGAACCTTCCAGTGGGTCCCCAGCTCACTTGAGTAAAGGCGAGAATGTGTACTAGAGCCCACAGCCCATTCCCTCTCTCCTCACTCATTGAACTCCACGCACACTGGCCACCTCGCTGTCCCCCAAGGTTCTGCCTTTGCACTTCTGCTGTTCCCTCTGCCTGGAATATTCTTCCCTTTGTGGACATCATTCATTCTTTCACTCCTTTCAGGTCTCTGCTCACACACCGCTTTCTCAGCGTGATCCTGCTGAATGCTCCGGGCATGCTTTGCATCAGGGTCTTTGCGTCTGCAGCCCCGCCTGCTGGAGCTCTTCCCCTACATATCCCTCGCTGATCAAGATCAAACTTCTCCGTGGAGAAGCCTTCCTCCTCCACCAGCACTGTCCTCAGCGCTCCTGCCTCCCTCGCTTTCCTTTTCCCTGTAGCATTTGCCGCCGTCTGCTCTCTCTTCCCTCCTTTGTGGGCCTCTCCTCCAGTAAGATGTAAGAAATGGAGGCGCACACAGCCCAGATGTTGCTTTTGTTCAGCTCATTGATGTACCCCAGAACCTAAACAGTGCTTGGCATACACTAGATACCCAATAAATATTTGATGAATGAAAGCATTTTTCATAGAAAGCCTGCAAGGACATACACTAGTACCATAGCCATTAGCTATCTCTGGGGGGGGTTATGCATATAAATGATAAATTTAGTCTTTTTGGATAGCTGTATTTTCTAACTTTATGATGTGTTTGTGTCCTACCAATAAGATGTTTCATAATTGTAATTTTTTTTTCTCCCTCCCAGATAGGAGCATGCTGCTATGTGGAATGTTCAGCTTTAACCCAGAAGGGATTGAAGACTGTTTTTGATGAGGCTATCATAGCCATTTTAACTCCAAAGAAACACACAGTAAAAAAAAGAATAGGATCAAGATGTATAAACTGTTGTTTGATTACGTGAGAAACATCTTCAGTGGCCAAGGCAAATATCCATTTCTCTTGAAAGCATATGAAACGCTACAGCTACGCCCAGACCTCTTGTAGATAACAAAGCAGTTCACAACTTGAAAGAAAAAAAAAAACCTGTCCTCAGAATTCTATAAAGTTCATTAAGAATGTTTCTTAAAGGTCTAAGAAGCAGTAAGCAGCATCTGAAGCCACAATCTATTATAAATACTTTATTTCAACTAGAAGGTACAATCTCTCAGGGGTTTCATAGTTTAAAAAGCTACAATCACATCATGTTGTAACTACATAAAAAACAGTGCTGTAAATGGAACTGCTTGGCTTTGACCATATACATTTCTGCACAGCCCTTATGGAATCTGCACAAAGAAATATCTTCTCCCTTTGCTCCAATTAACTGTTCTTGTATGTAAGTTGCTTTCTATTCCAGTATATCCAGAGTGGTGAAATAACAAGGCCAGCCACGTAGCCAAAGGTCGCTCCAAGCGTGCAGGAGATGGGCCAGACCTGAGGAGAGAATGTATGAGATCACAAAAGAACAAATGTTTTATTATTACTTGAGCACAAGTGTAACCTAAATATTCCTATAGTAAAGCTTAATGTACTTTCTTAAAGAATGCCAAAAGGGTCATAGGGTCATAACTGCATTTATCATGAACACTAAAAAATGTACACATTTTAGTTAATGTGCATTAAACTGTAACAAGGCTTCTGGCAATTGTAGATTTAGTTTGATGCTCCCCCAAACTGCATGAGATACATGCTAAAATTATGAATTAAAATTGGGGTCAGACTTTGCCATAATCCTGGACTCAACTTAGCTCTCTGAACTAGTTGGTAATTTTTTTTAATTCCCACATTGACTGTGTACATCAGATGAAACGAGAACTGTGTATGCTGACCAAACCACAAAAAACTTTAAGTTGTGTTAAAGAGGAAAGCCCTAGAATCCAAGCACGTTACATGAAATTTATAACAGAGCAGCTGCTTCCACCTTTCAGATAGAGATGCTGGAACCACAGCAGAAGTTATGAAACTACAACTTATGTGTACAACTAGAGTGCAAGTTAGACAAAATGCTGGCTTCCAGATGCCCATCTTCTCCAGCTGTATTACGTTAAGCTGCAAGTAATTAATGTTGATTCATTTCATCCACAAGCAGTGCATCTTGGTCCCTAGGTGAAGGGCTCTATTTAAAAAAAAAAAGTTGGAGACAAATGTTCATGTTCATCTGTGATGCGTATTTGGTATACTGGAGCCATTTCTAATCTTTCTCTGGGGGGAACAGGCCATAGAACTGTGTTAGTAGTGAACCATCTTAATTCCTCATTCTGTTACCTAATTCAGCTTCCTTGGTCTGCTGTAGCTCTGCCTTACTCCAAATGCCATGCACCAGAGGATGGTGTAACCTGAAGCTTCAGTGCAAACAACCCAATGCAGTTTAGAGAAGCATAACCTAATCTATAACATTTTTTCCAGCTTTTCCTACATTTAAACTTGCTGTTGCCTAAATTATGACTTTCGTTATGTCTTTGATGGACTTCTGTTAATTTCCATGACTTGAGCTTATAGCTATGTCTGCTGCACAGATTGGGTAATGGAACACTAAACTTTTATACTTGAAAATGACAGCCTTAAATGCTCATATCAGTCACAAATCTAGGGTGTACTGTCTTGTTGTATGTGAGCTTTGTAGAGATTTTTAAAAATATAGGCATCATCTTCCCCATTGAAGAGTGGAGAGAATCTGCTGGATAACTATTCAGAAACTTTCTCTCCAAATTGGACATTGGATGTCTTCTTTCTCCCAAGAAACGGTGGTTCGCATTAAGTATCATGGCCTTATTGTATGCTCAAATGGAATCTTATGTAACTTTCTTATTTAATTTTGGTCTGCTATTTTTAGATAGAAAAGAATTGTATAAATCAATTAACATATAGCTAAGCTGTCCAACATGTGGCATAAAGGAATTAAGACAGTAAAGTATTATACATTTCCAACTTGCCTTTGGGGATTTGATGGCAGATTTTTTTGTTTTCCAAATTCATATCTCTGCAACTCTCCACACCTGGTTTGCCAGCCAATGAAAATTAAACTCTAGAATGTGTCCTGCCCTAACAGAAATGAATTAGGAATCTTGAGCCACAAACTGGTGTCACCTGTCTTTCTTCATTTTATTATAAATATGGGAAGTCAATCAGATGATCTCCAATGTCTCCTATCTGTCAACTGTTAGGATTCTCTTCTTTCTTATTCGCAATAATCATCGCTGGACATCACCTTTCCAGCTTCACATTCTCAAGATGGTAAAAACCTGTATACAGGTTACTAGAACTCTTAAGCAGAGATGATTGTCTCATCTGAACCTGAGGTGCCTTGGGTACTCCTCACCTCGATGAGGTTTGGAGTTTCCCATTGCTTATTGAGAGCTTTTTTAATTTGGTTCTTTAGTTTTTTTTGCAAGTTTTTTCCTGTCACTTTAACTAAAAACCAAAGATTTGTTTTCTATTCATAAGCAGATTGTAGAAAAACTGTCTTATTTTCAGAAGTATGTCTTCATTAAAGGCTTAGGTTTCAATAGAAATTCAGACTTATCATTAGAACAACTAGTATTTCAAACTAATGAAATACCTGGGAAATAAAATGCTTCAAAAATATTTTATTGCCATGAATTTTGCTAGTGAATACAAATACATTACTTCAAATAAGGTCATGTGTGAATGAACTTAAAAAAAATTTGTAGTTAATCAGTTTCTGCATACAGAGAATTAGTTCTAAAGTTCTTAAACATAAATTCAGGGGCTTCCTGAAATCTTATTTAATACTTTGCTAATTTATACCCTTATTATATCGCTACAGGTAAATTTTAGGTTAGTCCATGTTGAATTCTATTTCCCAATAAGTAGAGCTTTAAATGATGAGTTTTGTTATGAATGATCTTAGTTACTTTAGACACTGTTTCCATTTGGTTTTTAATTATTAATTTTAAGTACCAAATTAAATACCGGTCTGTTGGTTGTTGCTTTAAGTGATTGTTACTTTAACAGTGTCCCTTCTTAACACATGGGGTTACAAATAAAATAATATGCATAGTTTACTATCTATGTAAAGCACTGAACGTTTCACCTTAGTAGTTTTTATTTAACACCCTATGTAAACATTTGGGATGAGGTTCTTTCCTCTGTCTCATACTGAGAGTCTGCTCATCATTGGCAATGTGTGAGCACCTACACTTGGTTAAAATGCTCACTGTCAAATTATAGGGAGACTAGTAACCCCTCATGAATCCCAAGCAAAGTCCAATTTGGGTTACTAAACTGTATTTTAGTCATTTTGTAATTTCAGTATGGTTCTCTTCTCTCTCAAACACACACATACACATTCATACACATTCTTTAAACAGCTGCCGCATAGCACCTCCAACAGAATGCCAAAAATGAAATGTTGGTTAAAAATTCTTGTCTAATGAGGGTTTAAGGCTTGGAACACTTACTATTCATGTTAATGTAAATCAAGAAATCGAGGCACGCAGCAAATGAAAATGTTGGACTGGCTTTTAAGACTGTTTGCTAATGATGGATCAGGCTTTGTACTTACAAGAATACCTGCTTGACTTTCCTGAAATAAGCAGTTCTTTTAACATAGTCATTTTTTAGAGAGAATTTCTTTATCTCAGAGCATTTTCATGATTCTTGAAGGCCAAGATAGGGAATGGCAGAAGGAAAAGCTGAGGGAGGCTGTCCACTAATAGCCATTCCTCGGGTGATTTCCTACTGACTTCCTTATAATTGCTTAAAATGGCAACTACACTATGACAACAGCATTCATACTGACTTGTCCAACAACCCTACCTTAATCTGTATTTCATGATTAGACCCTAAGGTTTTCCATTTAAAACTATTTCCTCATTCACATACAGAAATGTTTCTGTTTAACATTCTTCATGCCACAAATAGGATTTTTTTAAAATGGCATCTGTTAAACAGACAATTCAGATGCATCACTATAAAAGTTTCTCCAAACTATGGTAATATGAAATAGCTATATATAATTATATTGTTTTGTTTAAGGAAAATAGAAAACTTAGAACAAAGACATTCATGTAAAGGAAGTCATTTACAAGTATTTGCTACCAAAATGACAAGCTTTTAATATAGGTTTTTTGAATAAGTTTAATTTTTTTAAATCGCTAAGTAGAAGAAAAAGCTCATGTTGCATAACAAAATATAATACAACTCAAATGGGTAAAATGATTAAGTGGCTCAGCCTGTAATCCCGCGCCCTTGGGAGGCTGAGGTGAGTGGATTGCCTGAGCCCGCGGGCTCCAGACCCGCCTGGGTAACTTGGCGAGACCTCATCTCTACAATAAATCAAAAAATCAGCCGGGCGTGGTAGCGCATGCCTATAATTCTGGCTACTTGGAAGGCTGAGGCGGAAGGATCGCTGGAGCCCAGCAGGTCGAGGCTGCGGTGGCCGGGAGCGGCCACTGCCCTCCAGTCTGGGCGACAGAGTGAGACTCCAACTCAAAAAAAAAGATATCACAAAAAGAAAAACCTATTTTTAAAAAATGAGTGGCTATATCATGAAAATTGAAATATTTGTATTAAATGTATTATACGTAGAGCACTAAAATTGCCCTTTCTGTAAATCAAATGACTCCTTATGATGTGTACTTATCACTTAAACCAAAAAAGACCTATGTTCTCTTAAAATAATTAATCAACATAAACAATATAACAAAATTATATTATGCAGCATGGAATTTGGGTACATCATATCAATAATAGTTATTACACCTTAATAAGCTAAAAAACAAATTCATAATACAAAATATAGATGCAAACTTCTTTGTATGTTTTCTCTTACACAAATCAATATTATTGCTAGTTGAAAGACATTTCAAAATTTTATAAGCTTATTTCTGCCTGAACACCATACTGCACTCTCTGCTTGTCATTTAGGAAAGGAAAATGTAGTGTTTGCTACTTTTCAAAGGATGTTCTCAGTAGTACAGAATAGGGACAAAACACCAGTTCTGGTATTGAACAGACTGAGTCTTAGCTCTGCCATTTACTGAATGTGTGAATCACTAGCCTTTTTGCATCCTGGTTTCCTCGTCGTCAAAAACTCACCTCTTGGGGTTGCTGTAATGATTGAGATCATGCACTATGCCATACTCAGAACCATACCTGTAACTGTATCAGGCGCACAGTACAATTGGCCAGTAAATGTGAACTCTAAATAATAATCTTTTAGTTCATATTCTTTTTTTTTTTTTGAGTTGGAGTCTCACTCTGTCACCCAGACTGGAGTGCAGTGGCCGCTCCCGGCCACCGCAGCCTCGACCTG